TAGGCATCGGAGGCCCGCCGCCGGGCCACCCCCAGCGTTGGGTTCTTGCAGGTCCGGAGGCTATTCGAGTTGAAGGAGCTCGGGTGAAATCTATTTCACTTTATTGGCGCTGTCTGTGGGACCCGTTCAAAAAGTTAAGTAGAGTTCCGACTGAAAAAATTCGAAAACCTCCTTCTTCTCCACCTGCCGCCGCCACCGTCGGCCGCCACCTCCACCGCCGGTCGCCGAAAAACGTGCTCCGCTCAGAAAATCGTTTACGTCATTGAGTAGATCTCCTCAAGGTGAATATCCCCTTAAAATTTCTTGCAAAAATTTCTCCGGGAAGGCGTTCAATTTCGTGGTCAAAGTTCTCAGATCTAGCAAAAAATAGGTCAAAATCGTACATTCAAATGCATTTTCCCGACGATCCGTGAGGGCTATGAAGAATCCGAGGGTACCACCGGAATCCTCTCGACGAGATGAATCTCCAGTTACCGATCTTCGCCGAACACTACCGCCCCCGCCGCCGTCCGCCGCCGCCTCCGTCGCCGCCTCCGCCGCCGGTTGTCGGTCAAAGTCGTTTGATCTGAAAAATCTTTACATCATCGCGAAGCTCTTCTCATGCTCGTTCTGCCCTTAAATTTTCAAGAAAAAATTCCTCTAGGAAGGTCGTCGATTTTCCGATCAAAGTTTATGGATCTAAAAATTTTTTTAGTCAAATCCGATCATCTTCTCTATTTTTCCATCGATTTCTGGCAAACCACTTCGATCCGATGGAACCACCGGATTTTCCTCGCCGAGGCGCACATACGGACGGTCTCCATTTTCCTCTCCGCTGCCCAGGTGTGGCCACTCCTCAGCCCATCACGCGGCCCGACTTGAGGAAACTAGCTAGAGGCCCGCGTCCAGATAAAGCCCAGTGCCCGGCCCAGTAAGAAACCCCGCAGCCCAACTCCTTAGCAATCCAGCGCGCGGGCTGCGTCCAGCTCGCGCGGCACGCTTCCCTTTCAACACTTGGCCCGCGAGAGCCCGTGTTTGGCCCGCGCTCCAGCCCTCATTCCTATCAGTCCCTCAGCCCGCGTGGGCCTTATCATAGCCCGCGTGCGGCCCACCCGCAACAGCGCGACCCAACTGCCATATCCGCGGCCCAACTCCATGTATTCGCAGCCCAGCTCTGTGTATCGCGGCCCAGAGTGCTTAATTGGCCCCCAGAATGGCCCAGCAGCGGTCCAAACCGCCCAAGAATGGCCTAACAGCCCATGTTCGAGCCCAAGACTAATTAGGGATGATTCAACACGGACGGGGAGGTAAATTTGAGATAATTCTCGTAATAAAGGTATGCGGTTAATTTAAATAATGGGAGTGAGGATTTTTTAATTAGTGAAAATGGATAGATTATTCGATTGGTCGTGGTGATATTGGAATAGATCGTGGATTTATTTGATATGTTCGTTGTAATATGGGATTTTATCGTGGAGATTTTTAATTTGCTAATGGTGAAAATATTGGATCTATCTGTCGAGCACTATTGAACTTATTTGTGGTTGTGGAGCAATATTTGGTTTATTCATGGAAAAATATTTGGCTTGTTCGAGGGAATTATGTGATGTATTTGTGGAGAAAATACCTGATAATCGTGAACATATTTGATTTATTCGTGGTGATATTTTATTTGATCGAGAAATTATTGGATTTGATCGTGGAGATGTGTAATTCGCTCGTGGAAATATTGATTGATTTATTTGTGGAAATATTATATAATTTATACGTGGATATATTTGATTGGTTCGTGGAGATATATGATTTGTTCGCGGATATATTCTCTTTATTAGTGCAAAATTATTTGATTTATTCGAGGAGCCTATCTGGTTTATTCGAGGAGCCTATTTGATTTATTCATGGAGGATTATTTGATTTGCTCGTGTTGGATTATATATTTTATTCGTGGAGGATTATGTGATTTATTCATGGAGATTTTGATTTGTTCGAGGAGAGGGTGATGTTTATATTTGATCTCTTATGTTTCTTGAACAGAGTTTGATATTGGGGATAACCCATTTGGATTTTCGATTGGTGCAATTGTTTAATGACTAATCGCATCTGAGGAGTATTATTTGTTGTAATTGTTTGCTGAATTTATGGTCTCGTGGAATTCTGGTCGACTTTTCCTTCGAGCGAGGGTTTATGTGATCTCATATTGTGGTAAAGAGGCTTGTTTGTAGATTGAGGTGTGCAACAAAAACTCGTGGATCAATTTGATTGCTTTGATTTATTCATCTCTTGTTATTATGGCTTATCAGAATTATGTTGTAGCAAATTATTTTTATTTTATCGAGCACCGAATCAAATGATTCGTTTCTCGGGTCGATCTCCCGAGGAAGACGGTTCGGAATCTAGAATTGGTGTCGAAATCACAAGAATTAAAAATAACTCCTAAACACTCTAATGAAGATAGTTTAGATTGATTATTAACTAAAAATATTATAAAATCAACTAAAAATATAAATGGAAAATACGAAAGATGCTTAGGGAATCGGAAATAAATGTTTTGATTCGAAATGTAATTATCGGCAAGTAATCGTTCAGTTAAAGAATTCGAGTCACCTACACGTTTACATATTCATCCTCAATACCTTTCGGAACAAGAGAATAAATATAAACGATAAATAAACGAGCTGTTTAACACATAGACAATACCTTTCGTAACAAGTCTATTTTGTATGAGTCTCAATCGATTAACCCCTCCCTTTTCGGTTCAAAGAGTCAATTAAAATAGACTGTAAGATTGTTAGTCGTCTAGTCTATTCGGATCGTGATCGTCACACTAGAGAACACCATATTCAATTTGAAAACAAGTTTAACATTGAAGTGCCACTCTTCAATACTTAGAAATCAATTTCAAGGTTGAATTGTCACATTTCAACAATATGTCATTCCAAAGTTAAAATAAAAAACTGAATTTAAAACTAACTCATACAAAGTGAACAATCAAGGAGTACAATAATCACATACAATTTCAAAGGTTCATCCCTTATCCCTAGCAAGTGATTTAGTTACTCATATCAAAAATAACCTCAACATAACTTGATTGCAAATCATCATTATTATAAAGAAAACTTACAAGAAATCCAATCAAAAATTAAGTTCGATAGAAGTGCTAAACTGAGAATAAGTACACACCAAATGAAATACAAACTTCTCTAAAATTCCTTCTCCTAAACACTTCTTTCTCAAGATAAGTATTTAAGAAGGAGAAATTAAGGATTAGAATGTTACATTATTATGAGAATGAATGAACAAAGATGATGAAATACAAGCCAAAGAGAAGAAAGGCAGTGTTGGGGAAGAAATAGGGTCCAAAAAGGACACCAAAACCATCACACTTTTAGCAATGAAATGCTCCATATTTATAGCCAAATAATCTTTCTTTTTGCTGAGCATTGATAGCTGGAGGTCCCTCATTGTGTTGTCTTGCACGCCATTGAAGAAGTTTGGCACCAACCATCACTAAAATGAGCTTAAAAATCATAAGTTGGCAGAAACAGGGGTAGTAGCGCCGCTACTATGCCGACAAAGGAAAGGTTGCCCCTGGCGCTAGCTAGCTAGCGCCGCTACTGTGTCGGCAACCTTGCATGTCATCACGGTTTTTGCTCGTTCGGGCTCGTTTGGATTCGGAATTGACTTTTGTTTTTTCCTACGCGTAGCTAACGAACCCCTCTATCCAATGATTTTTGCAAACCACACTTTTTGCCCAGAATACAAATTTTATGGAATTTCCAACCTTTAAAGGGTTAGTAACTTGCTCAATTTTACGTTTCGGTCCCGTTTGGATTCATTTAAACTCGAAATCGAATCCCGCTTTTTCTCACTTGTCGTCAACTAACTTATCTAGTTAGTTATTCTTGAATGGTCGAGTTCTGAGCTTAATCCAATCCTCACGGGGTTTTTGACCTGCAGACCAAAAACAAGAAAAAAACAGAAAAAATACACGAAAAACACAAGAAAAATCAAAATAGATCAAAACACATAATAAATCATAAAAATGTATAAAAACCAATAAAAAGTCCTAAAATGAGGGAAAATGAAGAACAAAACAATAAGGAAAAATAAAACAAAAATAGTACAAACAAATTACAAATTCAAAGATGTGGATAAAATACGACTAATGGTATTTTTTGAATTCTTGCTGAGGAAAATACACGAACATGTGGATTGGATATTGGTCATGGCGATAAGTGGAAAGCAAGGAGTAAACAGCAACGCAGGTCGTCATGTACAACCAGGAAAGGGAGGTCGAAAAATACATTTGATATTTTTTATTATCATCTTGTTCGACGTAATTATACATTTGAAGACACTACCGGAAATGATCGATTACTATCCATCTTGTTATATTTAGTGTTTCTCCCTTTAACCTCAGTGGCAGGTCGTCCAAGTGAAGAAAAAAGCCCTTCGTTTTTGGAACATCCCGCTCAAAGGGGTGGGCGAAGGTCGCTTGCTTCCGGTACATTCTTTGGGGTGGGCAGGTGGTCACAAAAGTCTACGCCTCCGGGTTGGATGACCACCATGTTTTCGGAACATCCCATGGGGTGGGTAAGTGTCAAGACCAAAGCCCTTCGTTTTTGGAACACCCTGCTCAAGGGGTGGGCGAAGGTCGCTTGCTTTCGGTACATTCCTTGGGGTGGGCAGGTGGTCACAAAAGTATACGCCTCCGGGCTAGACGACCACCATGTTTTCAGAACATCCCATTGGGTGGGCAAGTGTCAAGACCAAAGCCTTTCGTTTTTGGAACACCCCGCTCAAGGGGTGGGCGAAGGTCGCTTGCTTTCGGTACATTCCTTGGGGTGGGCAGGTGGTCACAAAAGTCTACACCTCCGGGCTGGATGACCACCATGTTTTCGGAACATCCCATGGGGTGGGCTAGTGTCAAGACCAAAGCCCTTCGTTTTTGGAACACCCCGCTTAAGGGGTGGGCGAAGGTCGTTTGCTTTCGGTACATTCCTTGGTCTGGGCAGGTGGTCACAAAAGTCTACGCCTCCAGGTTGGACGACCGCCATGTTTTTGGAACATCCCTTAGGGTAGGCAAGTGTCAAGAAAAAAGTCCCTCATTTGTGGAACATCCCTGATCCCACGATAGGGGTGGGTGAGTGGTCGCTCGTTTTCGGAACACCCCGCTCAAGGGGTGGGCGAGTGTCAAGACCAAATCCACTTGTTTTCAGAACACGCCGCTCAAGGGATGGGCGAGTGGTCGATCCTAGTGTTGGGTCGTGAAGACACAGAGCTTATTGGAGACCTCGGAGGCAGGTCGATGGTTTCTACTTGGTTCTATTTGGTTCGGTTTATTTGTATATTGGTTCCTAACCCCCGTGGCAAGTCGATCAAGCTCATTATGGATAGCTCGAGCAGGTTAATGGTTTTATTGGATTTGGTTTTGTGGTATTTGTGGTTTTAACCCCAGTGACAGGTCGATGGAGTTCACTACGGATAACTCGAGCAGGTTAATGGTTTTATTGGATTTGGTTCTGTGGTATTCTGTTTTTAACCCCAATGGAAGGTCGCTCAAGCTCATTACGGATAGCTCGAGCAGGTTAATGGTTTTATTGGATTTGGTTCTGTGGTATTTTGTTTTTAACCCCAAGGGCAGGTCGCTCAAGCTCATTACGGATAGTGTTGGAACCCATGAGGATCTCGATATGCACAAATCACGGACAAACATTCAACATAAACCTATGCGCAACGGATCTAAAGGTTTGATGAAGAAAACTTACTGCTTAAAATTTATGTAGATCTGGCTGGCCCGAACAGTTGACCGCAAATCAAATCTTCTCGGAATCGAACAAACTTGACCAATCCGGGAAGCTGACGTCACGGCGAAGTCAATGGCGTTGACCGGTCGGAAAACGGCCTTCTCACGCGCTCTCACGCGCGATGACAACTTCCAGCAGCAGGTTCCTCCCGGCGGCGCGTGTGGGCGCGTGCGGCGGCGTGCGGCGGCGATCTCTTCGTCTCGTCGTCCTAGTCGTCGTGGTATGGTCACTTGCTGGTTTTGGTCTCCGGTTTGGATGTATGATTAGAATCTCTATATACCTTAAGATCTAGGGATGAAAACGATCGGAAACGATCGGCATAAGGTTCAACCATTTCCACTTTCATATTTTTTTCTCGAAAACGAAAATGATACGATAATGTCGGAAACGAAAACGACATCGGTATTCCGGTAATATCGAAAACGAACTATTCGATCGAAAATAAATCGATAACGATCGAAATATATTAAAACGGTATTTAAAAAACGATAAACATACCACATTATAAAATATAACGTCAAAACATTAATTGAAATATTCTCATGGCATAATAGTAGCAAAATCCAAATTAAAAT